GTAAAACTATCCAAGAGTTGAAAGATGACAGAGCAATTTTAAGAAAGAACCAATTTTTTAAAAACAGTGTCCCATTCTATTGCCCAGACTGGAGTACAGTGTCTGTTTGTATCCTTCGTCCACTTTTTGATGAGGTTATTTGTTTTTTTCTTGCAGATTTGTTTAAGTTCTTTGTAGACATTATATTTATATTATAATTGGATATTAGCCCTTTGTCAGATGGGTAGATTGCAAAAATTTTCTCCCATTCTGTAGGTTGCCTGTTCACTCTAATGATAGTTTCTTTTGCTGTGCAGAAGCTCTTTAGTTTAATTTGATCCCATTTATCTATTTTGGCTTCTGTTACCATTGCTTTTGGTGTTTTGGTCATGAAGTCCTTGCCCTTGCCTATTTCCTGAATGACTTTTGAGTGAACAATAACATTAAGGCAGAAATCAAAGATTTTTTGAAATTAATGAAAACAGAGGTGTGACATACTAAAATCTCCAAGATGCAGCAAAAGCACTGTTAAGAGGAAAGTTTATAGCATTAAATGCCTATATCAAGAAGTTAGAAAGAAAGATCTCACACTAACAATCCAACATTACACCTAGGGGATCTAGAAAAACAAGAACTAACCTCAAAGCTAGCAGAAGAAATATACAAAAGATCAGCAAAACCAATAATTGTTTCTTTTAAAGGATAAACAAGATTTATAGACAACTAGCCAGAATAACAGAAAAAAAGAGAAGACCCAAATAAGCACAATCAGAAATGACAGAGACAACATCACAACTGATTCCACAGAAATACAAAACATCCTCAGAGACTATTGTGATTACCTCTATGCACAGAAGCTAGAAAATCTAGAGAAAATGGAAAAATTCTGGAAACATACAACCTCCTAAGTTTGAACCAAGAAGAAGTTGAAACCCTACATAGCCCAATAATGAGTTCTGAAACTGAATCAGTAAAAACAACAACAACAACAACAACAACAACAAACATCTACCAACCAAGAAAAAAAAAAGAGCCCTGCACTAGATGGATTTACAACCAAATTCTACCAAATGTCTAAAAGGAAAAAAAAAAAAAAACTAGTCTTATTGAAACTAGTCTTACTGAAACGGTGCCAAAATATCAAGGAAGAGGGTCCCCTTCCTAACGCATTCTACAAAGCCAGCATCATCCTAATACCCAAATTTGGCAGATAGCAAAAAAGAAAATTCCAAGCCAACATCCCTGATGTGAACACAGATACAAAAATTCTCAACAAAATACTAGCAAACTGAATCCAGCAGCACATCCAAAATTTAATTAGTTGCAAACAAATAGACTTTATTTCTGGCATGTAAGGTTGGCTCCATATATGCAAATCAATAAATATGATTAATTGCATAAACAATTAAAAACAAAATCCATATTTTGTTTTGGTCTCAGTAGATTCAGAAAAAGCTTTGGACAAAATTCAACATCCTTCGTGATAAAAAATTTGAACCAACTAGGCGTCAAAATAACATACCTCAAAATAATAAGAGCCATCTATGAAAATCCTATAGCCAACATACAAAATGGGCAAAGCTGGAAGCATTCCCATTGAGATCTGGAACAAGACAAGGATAGCCATTCTCATCACTCTTACAACATGGTATTTGAAGTCCTAGTCAAAGGAATCAAGCAAGAGAAATAAATACAAGACATCTAAATAGGAAGTCAAAGTGTCTTGCTTTACTGAGAGAATAGAAAACTATGCATACTCTATGCTCTATGAGAGTATAAAATACTATGATTCTCTACTTAGGAAAACCCTAAATACTCCACCAATAGACTTCTAGAACTGATGAAGAACTTCAGTAAAGTTTCAGGATGTAAAATCAATGTATAAAAGTCAGTAGCAATTATATACAACAATAACGATCAAGGTAAGTGCCAAATAAACAATGTAATCCTATTTAGATTTGCCACAAGAAGATTTAAAAACCTAGGAATACATCTAACCAAAAAGGAGAAAGATCTCTACAAAGAGAAATGAAAACACTGAGGAAAGAAATTAGAGATGACACAAACAAATGGAAAAGCATTCCATCCTCATCAGTTGGAAGAATCAGTACCACTGAAATGTCCATACTGACCAAAGTGGTTTACAAATTCAATACTATTTTTTTTTTTTTTGAGTCTCACTCTCTCTCCCAGGCTGGAGTGCAGTGGCCTGATTTCAGCCCACTGCAACCTCTGCCTCCTGGGTTTAAGCAGTTCTTCTGCCTCAGGCTCCCAAATAGCTGGGATTACAGGCACCCATCACCACACCTGGCTAATTTTTGTATTTTTAGCAGAGATGGGGCTTCACCATATTGGCCAGGCTGGTCTTGAATTCCTGACCTTGTGATCCAACTGCCTCAGCCTCCCAAAGTACTAGGATTACAGACGTGAGCCACCACGCCTGGCCGCAAATTCAATACCATTCTTATCACATTACCAACACTATTTTTCACAGAATTAGAAAATACTATTCTAAAATCCATATGTAACCAAAAAAGAGCCTGAATCGTCTAAGGAATCCTAAGCAAAAAGAACAAAGCTGGAGACATCACATTACCTGACTTCAAACTATACTACAAGGCTACAATAACCAAACAGCATGGTACTGGTACAAAAATAGACACATAGAACAATGGAACAGCCTAGAGAACCCAGAAGTAAAGCCACACAGCTAAAGCCATCTGATCTTTGAGAAAGTTGGCAAAAATAAGCAATAGGGAAAGGGTTCTCTATTCAATAAATGGTGCTGGGATAACCGGATATTCATATGCAGAAGAATGAAATTGAACCCTTACCTTTTATCATACACAAAATTTAACTCAGATGGATTGAGGCTTAAACGTAAGACCTCAAACTATAAAAATCCTAAAAGACAGCCCAGGAAATACCCTTCTCAGTATTGGCCTTGGCAAAGAACTTATGACAAAGTCTTCAAAAGGAATTGCAACAAAAACAAAAATTAACAACTGGAACCTAGTTTAGCTCAAAAACTAAAGAGCTTCTGCACAACAAGAGAAACTATCAAGGAAATAAACAACCAACTTACAGACTGGGAGAAAATATGTGCAAACTATACATCAACAAAGGTCTAATATTCAGAATCTACAAAAAATTTAAACAAACAGGCAAAAATACAAATAACTCCACTAAAAAGTGGGCAAAGTATGTGAACAGACACTTCTCAAGAGAAGACATGCAAGTAGCCAAAAAAATATGAAAGAGTGTTCATAATCACTAATCATCAGAGAAATGCAAATTAAAACCACAGTGAGATACCATCTCATGCCAGTTAGAATGGCTTTTGTTAATAGGTTAAAAAATAATAGATGTTGGCCGAGTGCGGTGGCTTACACCTATAATCCCAGCACTTTGGGAGGCCGAGGTGGGTGGACCACGAGGTCAAGAGATCGAGACCATCCTGGTCAACATGGTGAAACCCCTTCTCTACTAAAAATACAAAAATTAGCTGGACATGGTGGCGCACGCCTGTAGTCCCAGCTACTCAGGAGGCTGAGGCAGGAGAATTGCTTGAACCCAGGAGGCAAGAGGTTGCGGTGAGCCGAGATTGCGCCATTGTACTCCAGCCTGGGTAACAAGAGCGAAACTCCATCTCAAAATAATAATAATAATAATAATAGATGTTGGTGGGGATGTGGTGAAATGGGAATGTTTTTACACTGTGGATAGGAATGTGAATTACATCAGCCACTGTGGAGAGGAGTTAGGAGATTTCTCAAAGAACTAAGAGTAAACTAATGAGTAAACTAAGAGTAAACTAATTAAGAGCAAACTAATGCAGAAACAGAAAGTCAAATACTGCATGTTCTCACTTATAAGTGGGAACTAAACATTGCATACACGTGGGCATAAACATAGGGACAATAGATACTGGAGAATAGCAGAGAGAAGAAGGAAGGACGGTGGCAAGGACTGAAACGCATCCTAGTTAGTGCTACGCTCACTTCCGAGGCTACAGGTTTGATTGTACTGCAACCTCAGCATCACACAATATACCTTTATAACAAACATGTGCATGTACCGCTGGAATCTACAATAAAAGTTGGAAAAAAAATGTATAATCTGCAAAATTCAGAGGAAAAATCAGAAATACCAAATTTAAAGGATTTTTAAAATAATAAAACAAAAAGTAAATAATAATAAAAATGGTGAAAAGAAGCACAGTGTTTGAACTCAGACCTTTTTTAGAATCTAGAATCAATCAGCCACTTCCTGAATGACCTTGAAATCGTTACTTAACCTATTAAAGCCTCAGTTTTCTCCACAATGAATGGGATACTACTATCTACTTCATAGCATTGTGGTTAAAAAAAAAGATAGCAATAACACCTTAATGCCTAAAGGAGTTTCTGGAACTAGATGCCACTAGATTATCAATATTATTAGTTATTATAATGTTTATACACAAACATTTATTCCCCCTTTTTAAAGAAGACATTGTTGATACAACTTGAGGCTATGATTGTTTGACTACGTCAAGAGGCAAATATATGCTTCTGCTTTGTGTGTGTGTGTGTGTGTGCACATATTGTGGTTAATAGTAAGCTTTTTAAGTGATCTCTGAAATGTGTGTATGCCCAATTATTAATATATTTTTAAGTATGTTAAGTATATAAGTGGAATCTGCACTTGATTGCAACCTTAATTTTTTCTAGAATAACCTAGCATTCTTTGCAACTCTTTTTATTTTTTCTTTGTTAACTCTTGAGAACTTAACTACAGGCTAGGTAAGCAATTACAGTGTTTTATTTTCAATAGTTTGAGACTATGATATTTTGCTCTGATACTTTCTTATAATATTTTAATGATCCCCCATTTCTAATCTCTGCATATAAAATACTAAACAGCTAGTGTTTTGTCTGTGCATTAAAAGTACGTCGTCTAAGAAAATCCTCCTCCTTTTAGGGAACTGCTTCTCTTCTTATTCCAATTATATGATTCTGGGAAAGAATGCAATCATAGTACCCCTGGTGACACAGTTGATCTAGAGCTGCTCATTGGAATAACCTGGTTAGCTAGTAAGAAATAATACCGATGATTAGATCGAATGAATCTCAACTAAACCAAATGAATCCGAACCCCTGTGGCTGCAGCGTGGAAAATCTTTAGTTTTAGAACTATCTGGGTAATCATGTGCGCAGTTTAGAAGATGGCACCTGAGCCAAATCATGCCAAGCAGATTGTTTTCAGGATTTTCTACAGTGGCATATGGGGGCAAAGAGGAGCAGCATTCCCACTCTGTAGTAAAGTATGAGGTAGAAGACAGAAAAGCGGCTACCATGTGGACTTTTTGCCATATGAAGTAATGTCATCTGAAATAATGAGCCTTTCTGCAGAGAAAGCTAGAGGCTGGAGATGAGAGAGAGGGAGAGAAGGAGAGAGAAAAAAACTGGCTGCTTCCAATTCCCATATTATAACTGTTCCAAGGACCCAACCAGACTCCCCACCTTCTTTCCTATGTGTACCTGAGCCTTCCCTTAAATTCGTCTTACATGCAGGTACCTCAGATCAGGCATATGTAACTTGCCGACCAGTAGTTCTTTATACAAATGTATCTTGAAGTTGTACTTCAGCTATCACTGTTCTGACGTTGTCAGGTAGCTCATGTCCTAGGTCATGTTATCACAGCCTGTTCTCAAAATAAATGTTGCATTGCTTAGATTCTTCACTCTTTCTAATTTAAAAAAAAATTAGTTTTAATTTCTGTGGGTACATAGTAGGTGTATATATTTATGGGGTACATAAGATGTTTTTATAGAGGCATGCAGTGTGTAATAATCTTATGATGTAAAATGTCATATCTGTCCCTCAAGCATTTATTCTTTGTGTTATAAACAATTCGGGTATACTTTTTCTTATTTTAAAATGTACAATTAAATTATTATTTAGACCTTTTCTAAATCCTAATCACGTCTTTCACCATGGAGGTAAGATGATAAAGCGAGGCTCTCCAGTAAAACAACATTGGCAGGTTGCAGTAAACCTTAATACCCCAAAGCTTACACATACAGTCTTCTTTAATTCATTACTGTGTCCTAACTCCCAAGAAGGAAAGAGTAATTTTTAAAAAGTGTCAAGAATGACTAGGGACCAGTCTGTGAATTTAGGTCTCCACTGCCTGGAAACCTTTCTGATTTGGAAACCAGCAGGCTTTGTATGTGTACGAAGTGCTTTTGCAGTATTACCCATTGGAGTCAGATGACAGGAAAAAGAAATTGTGTGTTAGAAATACTGTTTACAGATATTTGGAGGGACATTAATCTGACTTTTCTTTAGATGTAAGCATCAAAGTCTCAGGAATGAGAAGTGCCTGGTAAACATACCTCAAAGGGCTGAGTTAGATGAATCGGCACAAAATGCATTTAGCTGAAATTCAGCTGCTGACTCCAGCCTTCTCCATTTTTCTCTGTAAGTGCTCAGCTGAGTTATCTCCTTTCTCTCACCTCACAAACCCTCTGCCACCAGATTATTAACAAGTGCTCTCTGCCAGTTCATTAGTCCAAGCCTTACTGCCCTCACATCATCTAAACTAACCAATATTTTCTTCTGTGAATCACTTGTTACAACATTACCCCATCTTTCTCTGACATGGCCCCTGATTATTACCAGCACATCTAATGCTAGGACAGTCACGTACCACATAACAACGTTTTGGTCGGTGACAAACTGCCTATACGACACTGGTTCCATATGATTATAATACCCTATTTTTACTCTACCTTTTCTATGTTTGCATATGCAAATATTTGCTATTGTGTTAAAATTGTCTGTAATATTCAGTATTAACATATTGATTGTACTGGTTTCTAGCCTAAGATCAATGGTCTATACCGCATAGCCTAGGCTATACCATCTATGTTTGCTTAAGTGCATTCTATGGTGTGTGCACAATGGTGAAATTGCCTAACAATCTATTTCTCAGAAGATATCCCTGTCATTAAGCAACACATGACCATATAAGGGTATTTTTAAAACTAACGCCTTTTAGATGAAATCTACAGTGGAATGACGCAGCTCTATCATCTCCAAGTTGATTGTTCTAATCAAAGTAGATTTATTTCCATGATTTATATAAACAGGGTGTTGATAGCTAAGGAGATGTGGCAAGAAAATATCTTACTCAGGGATACAAATTTAGGATTATGATGGAGTTACCAAATTCTGAAAATATTGGAAACAACAAAGATCCAGAAAATACACATAGAGGTCTAACACCTGAATAATACCTGAATAGCTAGATTATAGGTCTTGAGAAATAGTAAAAGCTGGGAATTTTGCTATTTGCAACTGAACAAATCATAACTGCTTTGGCTATATATTTCTGTAGCTTAACTGTCAGGATGTCAAAAATATAACCTCAGTCATGCCTAGTGCTTTCCTAACTTCTTCAGCCATCTCCAGAATTGTTCCACCATTCTATGTTCTGACACAGTGACAAGACAACACACACATTGTTTGGTTTATCCCCACAAGTAGCTGCTGCGATAGTCATTGTCCCTCTCTGAGTTCTTCTTTTAAATTTTTTTTTTTATTTTTTGCAGATGGAGTCTTACTCTGTCGCCCAGGCTGGAGTGCAGAGGCATAATTTCTGCTCACTGCAGCCTCTGCCTCCCAGGTTCCAGTGATTCTCCTGTCTCAGCCTCCTGGGTAGCTGGGATTACAGGCACACGTCACCACACCCAGCTAATTTTTGTGTTTTAGTAGAGACGGGATTTCACCATGTTGGCCAGGAAGGTCTGAAACTCCTGACCTCAAGTGATCCGCCCACATTAGCCTCCCAAAGTGCTGAGATTACGGGCATGAGCCACCGTGTCCGGCCAAGTTGTTTCTTTCAGCAGTGGACATTTGCTGGTTATCTCCTCATTTCATTCTTCCTATCCCTTCCTAATTGTCCCTAGATTTTGGTTCAGATATCTACCTTTCCCCCACATAATCCTTGTGCTTTGCTGGAAGCTGAATGACTGAATTGCAAGGGTGGGTTCTAACTGATTTAGGCCAACTGGCAACCTGGCCTTCATTAATGGTAAATATGCAACTAATCTAGTACAACTAGGGTGAATTCCATGATTCCTACTTAGAATTTTGAGGCAGAAGCCCACCCTTCTCCATGAGCATGAAGTAAGGAAACTTGTATCTGAAATAGTAACTTGAAGCTGTTTTGTGACTGTAGTGGTTTCCATCTTTAGAATGAAACCAGCATTTTAGATGGCAGAATAGATGAATGGGGTAAGAAAACAGTCTTGGTGACATCTACAGACCGTAAATCAAACCATCTTTGAAATTCTCCTTCTGAATTTTTGTTACAGAAAGCTATTAATACACGTTACTGTGTTAGCCAGTTTGCATTGAGCCTTTTGTCACATGAAAATAAACCACAAAACCCTATGACATAGCAGGTCATGAAAATGTTTAGGAAACTACATAGGACCCCAGCTTCTTAGACATGCTTTAAAATGTCCATCTCTGAAAGATACTTTCTCCCCTTTTGTAGTCAACAGAATCTTTCCCCACCTTACCCCCGCCCCCCAGTTTTGGAAACCTCACTCTTATTCTCTTCTTCCTCAAGACTGTGTGCTTTTGCAGAGAATTCCTGTTCTCTCTTGTACCTTCTCCCTAAACCCTTTAATTTTCCATAGTGTTTATTAGGTTTTGAAAACAAAACCAGGAAAATCTTTGCAGGCTTCTGAATTCAACCCTGCTTCTCCCTTCTTCCTCCTACAATGAATACCTGCTTCAGTGAGAAGAAAGGAAAAGGAAGAACACAGGGAGAAGTAACAAAAACACTAGTATTTCAAAATAGAGCCTAGTACACAGAGATGCACATGAGGAAAAATTGAGTTATTTCAAGCATTTGAGTAATTGTTAGAATTCATGAGTTTACACACTTATGTTTTATCCATTTGCCTTGATGAGCCCGATGCATTGTAAACTCTCAAATTATCTATCCTTTGAAGAAAAAGGATGTAGGTATTATGAAAATAGGCATTAAAACCTGTTTGGTGAATTATGTGGTTTTAAAGCTTAAGATGTTTGGTTTATACAGACTTTGCTTAAATTAAAAATGCACATTTAGTCATTTGGAAAAATGTCACCTTGCATTTACTCAGTATTACCAATGAGATTTATTGATTCTAAAATTGCTCTTTACTCTTTCATCGTTTTTACCTGACCAGCTTCTACGGATCATTCAAAACCCAGCTAATGTCATCTCCCCTGAAAAGCCTTGTCAAATATCCCCAGAGTTGGCTTATCCATTCTCTTCATTACTTCAAGGCTTTCTTCTCATTGTGTGTTCACATGTGTCTACCTTTTATATATTGACTAAAAAATGAGCATCATGTTTGTCTGCTTGGTTTTGAGACGGAGTCTTGGCTGTCGCCAGGCTGGAGAGCAGTTGCACCATCTCAGTTCACTGCAACCTACAATTTCCTGGTTTAAGCTAGTCTTCTGTCTCAGCCTCCCAAGTAGCTGGGATTACAGGCATGCACTGCCACCCCCAGTTTATTTTTGTATTTTTAGTGGAGATGGGGTTTCACCATGTTGGTCAAGATGGTCTGAATCTCCTGACCTCGTGAACCACCTGCCTTGGCCTTCCAAAGTGCTGGGATTACAGGCATGAGCCACCACACCTGCCCAAGTATCATGTTTTATTTGCCTTATATACCTATCACCTGGCACAAGGTCGATGCTTATACTGAAACTGAAATTCTACAAAGACACCATATCAGTCAGGATAGGTTACTCAAAAATCTCAGTGACCTACCAGATTGCATGTTTATATTTTACCCCTATTTTAGTCATCCAAGGACAGAAACTCTCCGTATTAGAGTTCTCCAGAGAAACAGAATCAATAGGACATATATAGATCATAGCAAAGGGGATTAGTGTGAAAATTGGCTTATGTAATTATGGAGGACGAGAAGTTGCACAGTCTGCCATCTGCAAGCCAGAGAACTAGGAGAGTCCGTGGTATAATTCAGCCTGAGACCAAACACCTGAGAAAAGGTGAAAACAAGGGGTAGAGTCCATATAAAATTCTAGAGATCAAAGGCCTGAAAACCTGAAGTTCTGATGCCCCAAGGTAAGAGATAATGGATGTCCCATCTCTATAAGAGAGCAAATTTGCCCTTCTTCTGCCTTTTTGTTCTATCTGGGATCTCAACAGATTGGATGACTCCCACCCAGTTTGGTGAAGAACTTCTTTACTCAGCCTACTGATTCAAATGCTAATCTACTCCAGAGCCACCCTCACAGATACACCAGAAGCAATATTATATCAGCTATCTGGGTATCCCCTAAGCCAGTCAAGATGACACATAAAATTAATCATCACACTGACCAAGACTTCATCTCGATGTGTTCACATCTGTGATCAAAATTTGGGTTTTAGATTTATCTCTGGCAATGATACATAATGCTTTATTCACATTTTACTGGCCAGAAAATAAGTCACCTTTGGACCTGGAGTTAGAAAGATGGAAAGTCAGATATATTTGGGCTACAGCAAAAATAGCCAACACGAAAGTTGAATACAAATTCCAGGTTGATAACAATGGAATCAGTACTGTCCTTTTCTTAGAATCACTGAATTATGATTAAAAAATAAAAGTTCACTGAATTTTCTTAGAATCACTAAATTATGATTAGAAAACTAAAGTTCCCAGAGATTACTGATTTGCTTAAGATCATAAGACAATACATGCACCCCTTTTCTACTTCGATACCTTTCTTCTTTAAAAACTAGCTCCTACCTTCAAGAATTTCACATTCTATTGATTAAAAAAAAAAACAAAACTGTTGATATTTTAGTATCCAAACCTAGTGAACTAAAGCATGGCTCAGTAAAACCAATGTAACTAAGCAGATTTATCACTACTCAGAGAAGAACCCAGTAGTTAAATAATTTTTTAGAGCAGACATCTGCAGCCACTAATAGAATTTAACTAACATGATTCCTGTTCACTTTGATTTTAGCTGATCCAAAGGAAAATCTGGAGTCTAAAAGTTTAAGGCCCTAAAGGGCTGAAATGTTTCTTAGTTTATTTTTTTTTCATTTGGCATTTAATCACTAGAATAATCAATGTAGTCTTCCAGAAAGAGATACACGATAAAAACTAGTTTTTCCTAATGATAGTGTGTGTTTGTTTTACATATATGTAACAGATATACAAATATGTATATACAAGTATAAACATACATCTACAAATATATATATACACATATTTGTGTATACATTTTCATTTGCCTACTTTTTAATAAATGTGTTTCATGTATATTTTACATACAGTCTATATTGTTTATTATATATATGCATATATTTCTTTCATGTAACTGTAGACAGTTATGCATGTCAGTAGATAGATGGATGGATAGGTAGGTAGGTAGGTAGACAGACAGACAGGAAAATACATAGATAAAAAGAATGTTCTTTATAGGCTGGGGCCAATGTTCAGTGCATCTTCTTCTAGTTCTGGTAGCAGTCGCAGTGAGACAATAAGTATAATAATCTCTACTGTTTATTGAAGTTTGAGCCCTATATGCTAATCACTGTACAATAGCTCTCATATGTATGTTACATAAGTTTTGAGCCTTCTGTTTTATAGGTAAACAAACTGTGGTTCAAAGAAGTTAAGACATTTGTCCAGGGTCACATATGAAGTATATTGGCAGAGCTGGATAATCTGTCTTAAATCACTGAGATCCAACCAGCAAACATGAAAAATATGGAAGACTTTTTGGAGTAATATAATTATTTTCTGACTAGCCATGATACAGTCAGATTGCCTTCAAGACTTAAGCCCATTTATCAAAAGGAAAACTAAGCCAGATAACAAAGGAAAATATTGAAAGCCTGAAAGCAGCTTCAAGAAAAAGATAAAAACAGTAGGTGGATAGAGATACATTTATTTTTGTTTATGATTATTCCTTAATGTTTGGGAAATAAGCCATGCTTCTCCCTGCTCATCTGCTTAAACTTACTCAAAGCTCGATAACATTGCCTTAACTCCATAGAAAAACAGTAACAAAAGTGATATTGCATCTTGCGTATTTAGCATTTTTCTAACTTGTGAGCAGAAATACGGTTAAATCAGTGTTCCAATTGTGTTGTAGACATTTTTCTTGTGAAAATATATGTATGTTTTCTAAACCTTAAAATCAGTGAGGTGCTTAGTTCTATGCATGCAGCATTATTGTTTAACTTGTTTGACATAATGTATACATTATGATACATCTCATATTTCATATTCATTATTTTCAAATTATTTTTTAGATATTTCATTTTATTCTCCCAAATACTCTGAGATGTAGGAAAAGGAAACATGCTTCCCCTCATTTTTCAAATAAGAAAATAAACGCTCAGAAAGGGTTTACATGGGCTCTCGAGGGTGGCTCAATGCATGGCAAAGGCCAGTCTGAATTTCGCACCTTTAACTTTCAGCTTCATTCCTCTCCCAGTATCTCTTGTGGTTGTGTTTTTTGTTTTATATTAATATCAGACAATTTCAGTTAATCATCCTACTCAAGTGAAACTAACTGAAAATATCATAATATGGCCATTGATTTCTCATCCAAACTAAGCTGAAATCAAAAGAAATAGTTCTCTCATAACAAATTGGGTTTTAAATCACCCCAAATCACTTAAATTTACTTTTCTAAAAGCAACAATTACAAATGTTAAGTTCTATGAAAGACATTTCTACCTATCAAGTTTTTATCTTATACCTCCTGTAAGAGAACTCTTCAAATCTCTAAATTTGGAAGATTATTTTTGAAAGCCTTTTCTTAAACTGACTTGAATTTTCCTCTGGTAATTTCTGTATTTTCACAAATATAGCAAAGTGTTTTGAGCGTGGACTTTGTAGTCTTTTAGCCTGAAATCAAACTGTGGCTTTAACACTTAGCCGCTTTGTGAATGTGAGCCCCTCTGTGGCTCACTGTTGTCGTCTGTACAATAGGGATGATGATAATACCTCCTCCCAGGACTCCTGTGAGGACCAAATAAGTCCAAAAATAGAAAATAAACTGCTTAAAATAGCACCTAGCCCAAATAAGTATTATATAAGAATTTGTTCATATTAATTATTAATATTACTACTAGTCCAATTGCTCTTCATGTTATAGGCCTTGAGAAACCAGCATCCACCTCTCCCCTTTAGTCTTCTCTTCTGAAGATTGATCCGCCTCCCACATTCCTTTAACTATTTCCTACATGGTCTCCTCCTGTGGCAATGCTCCTGATTATTATTCTCCCTCCTAAAATTTTATCTTATTTTATAGATATGCATTGAATGCCTATTGTGGTGCCTGGAATTCATGGTTTGTTCATTTAACAAACATAAATTGATCACCTCTGTGACAGGTGTATAATATGTTGTGAATACAAAATGAATGAAACAGTCTCTGCCCTCAGAGAGAGCAAAGGTAGAAAGGGAGACAGGTGAATGAATGTAATGATAGGGCAGGCTATCATAAAGTGTCAGCTAGACTTGACTCTCTTTATTCTACATAACTATTCCATGATATAAACCTATTAAAAAGAGAAAATAACCTCTTTTACTCACTTTGCTGTGGTAAAATGAAAACCCAGGCTTTTCCACTGGCCAGTTGTTAGAGTGTGTTTCTTTTTTGTTGTTGTTTTTCTTTTCTTTTCTTTTTTTTTTTTTTTTTTTGAGATGGAGTCTCACTCTGTAGCCCAGGCTGGGGTGCAATGGCATTAGCTCACTGCAATATCCACCTCCTGGGTTCAAGCAATTCTTTTGCCTCAGCCTCCCCAGTAGCTGGGATTACAGGCATGCACCACCATGCCAGGCTAATTTTTGTATTTTTTGTAGAGGGGGGGTTTCACCATGTTGGCCAGGCTGGTCTCAAACTCCTGACTTCAAGTGATCTGCCTGCCTCATCCTCCCAAAGTGCTGGGATTATAGGCGTGAACCACCACGTCTGGCCTAAAGTAACTGTTTCTTAGTCATAGTATGTTTCTCTATTCCTGCATTCAATGATAAAATATCCCGGTGACAAATTATTTTGTAAGAAGTATTTCTGCTTCAAAATTAAACTTGCGTCAGTGTTATTTAATCACCTTCTCTTCAAGCACGTTATTTTAGGGACAGGCGGTCTTCAGCCTGGGTGGTTTGATGTGCATTATGACACATGCTTTTCAAGGTGGTCTATCATGTTTGGCTGAACCTCGAGGATGCCCCTAGGTGAACTGACCAAGTCCTCTGCCATCACTTTCAGGTGCAGTTGAAATGCAGCACACTGCTCTGCCTGGACAACCTATGCATCACTCAGACTTGTCTGTTCTGAATAAGAAGGGAATTTGTTTTTCACAAAGTTCTGGAAATCTGAACTTTGTTGTTAAATTCATCCATTGTATTACCTTACGTAATCCTCCTTGCAAGAACTCTGAAGTAATTATTGTCATATCTATTTTTCATACTGAGGTGTTGAGTGATTAAGTAACTAATCTAAGATTGCATAGCCAGGATGTGGGAGAGCTGTGATTTGAACTACACTGGTTCAAATCCAAAATTTCACAAAGAACCACTTGCTCTACAGTTTCAGTGTTTCTCTTTCTACTTATTATCTGGGCTGACTGTGTTGTTTCACATAGTATTATAATTTTCACTTTGGAAAGCTTGGCATTTGGATAGCTGATGAGGGAATTTTTGCCTCTGGTTTCCAAGGGGATGTTTCTACTTTGAACATAGATTCTGCCTGTGTGATCAGTAGGGAAGGAAGCGTAATGACATTAAATGAAGGCAACACTGACTGTGAAATCAGTTACCTTTTATATCTCAAGGTTATTGAATTAATGAATTAGTCTTAGAAGGCTGTGTATCATTCATAGAATCTTGAGTAAGGAAATTAAATATTAACCCAGTTCACATCTAGAATGCACAATTTACAGCCACGTGCAGACTGAAACATATGGTGGAAACCTTCTTTCATTCTTTCAGGTTATTTTATGTGGAGTGTCCCATATACAGCAGGTCTTTTCAGGGACTTGCCTTGTGTGATCAAAATAATAAAACATCTGTCGATAATAACCTTGAGAACAAATTGGTGCTTCCTAAATTTGTTTGAGATATAAAACATCTCCTGTAATAATGAATAAAAGATGTGCAGACAGCATTTTAAACACAAGCACACACACATACACATAAATTTGGTCATGTCACCTGAAAATTATGTCCTCCAGCATTGCCAAAACCTCATTCACAGAAAACTCAGCTTCTTTGTGAATACATTGAGCCATTTTTTTTTCTATTGAATGATAGAGTATGGTTGTGAGTTTTAAAAAGTCCAGAAAAGAAGATTAAATAACCATACTTAGGCAGTTTCATATGAGGCATGTCAAAGCTGCATACTTTCAAAACCTCAGGAAAAAGTTGAGCCTTCTAAACATTCAGAAGCTCCCATTGAATTGCCAGGCCCCAAGCCACCACAGAATTTTCTGGCTGTCTGGTAAATTGCCACAACCTACACAGTTGTAGCCAAAGACATACTGCATACCAGAAAATCTGTGATTTTCATCACAAGCTCCCCCTTTCCTGTCCTGGGACCACATCCTGGTTAGAACGAGCCTGTGGAATACTTCATAGCGGTTTTGTTTCTGCGGTGCCTCCTCCCTTTGGTTCTGTATTTGGCATGAGGTTCCATTGAACAGGCAAGAATCCTTGGTAGAAATCTCAAAAGAAAAATGCAATGAGACATTTTCACCTCCTACTTTGGATAAGTATAGTAAGTGCAATAGATCATTCAGCTCCCAGCAATTGAATCTCCTGC